ATTGAAGTCATCCATTAGAATAATGAATTCAGTGGTCGGCTAGTCGGATCTTCGTACAGAGCATCTTCCACGGCCTAGAGGAAAGATTCATATCTTCCCTTCATATCGTGCGTAAATGATTTAGCCTGTTGTAACTTCAACTGCATAGTTGCCACTCTTTCGTTGACACGCTTCCATTCCATGATTCCCTCAATCAGGTTGGGTTCTACCAGAACAACAACTCCTACTTGAGTGCGTGTCGTGGTATCGAGGCCTGAATAGAGTCGGAATCGCTCCTGCTGGCAGAGGTTCAAAATTCCTGAAGTGTCAGCTCGTTGACAAGAATCCAACTATGTCTAGTTGGTACTTTTCCATAATATCAAATAGTTCCTGATCTTTCCCTCTGAGTGAAGAGCTCTTTCAGCTTCCGACTGTAAGCTTCCACTCTTGGCATCATTTCTGTGTGAACCTAACTGACATGGCATAATGGCATCGCGCTGTTTCCATCCTCCGTTCATAGCGGATGGCGGCTCTGCTGCTGACTGGTATCATCGTCTCTTTCTTGTCCATTCAACAGCTATAGCCATGGAGCTACGCCCTCACCTGCTACAAGGTGGGAGGCTGGTTTTGGTCGTCGATGCTTCGATGCCCATTCAAGTTTCATAATAACCTGTACTGTCCCTTGTAACCTTTGGTAACAATCGAACCGGTATAACGTTTCGTAACGGCAACAACATGAGGGGTTAGTGACTCAATTTTTTTGGGAAGCCTTGCTGCAATTCCCAACCTCCGGATCAACTGGGCTTGAGACCGGAAAGGGCCAGTTTTCAGTATTAATGAAGTATTATAAAGTTTGAAGCACATGTTTTTCACGGTAAGACTTGCTCGGTAGCACATCAGTTGAAAGCGTGTAATCAGCAAATGCAAACACGCCGCGTAAGCATGCAGATAACTTTCGTGACACGGACTGTTTCAGAAATAGTGCCATGCAATAGCCTTCATATGACAAAAATGGGTGTTGAATGGAAATGGTTCGTTTTAGCTGGCAGTTTCATATGCCGAGTCATCACGACGGGAACAATTATTTGTGCGGGAGTTTTCTACCCAGAAATGGAGGAAACGTTTCCTCATTATCAACAAATGATATTCATTATGTTCTCAATTGCTAACGGACTGATGGAAGGAGCAGGTATACAAAGCTTCTGAGGAAGCGTTACGTATAAAGCGATTAATTTGTGACTGACAATGCTCTATTAAATTATTTTTGTGTTCATATACGTAACATTTCAGAATTACACACTATATATCGTAATATAATATATTGATATGCATGATATCACTTTTCATTGCATATGTAATTGAGGTTACTCCCCGCTATTTCTGTTCTTGAAGAAACAGACTTTCGAAATCAAGGCAAATATACTGAACGGCAAGGTGGATTGAAATCTGAAGCTGTTCTCTCTGTCAACCGCGAAGCACGAAAAGAACCGATGCTCGGAACCAATTAAGTTGCGATACATTTCATGCATTCGGACGTGTAAAACGATATCATCCATAAAAAACGAATTAAAGGAATCAGATGAGTAAGATTAAGAAGAAAATACTTATCACATTATCAAAACAAAGTTACATCAAATGTACTTTTTGTTACGGTTATCCCGTACTAAACTGTTTCCTTTCATAGCTTTTCGGTGCGTTTCATGAGGTTTCATGAGTCATCGGATGCATTTATCGCATCGTATGACTTTCATCTGTCACTGAACTATGATTAAAGCCTTCGCTAACTTATTTGTCTTAAGCATTTCTCTAAAAACTATTCTCTAAACAATTTATCTCATCTTTCATAACTATTTCGAAGCATAAGGACTATTTTCTTCAGTTTTGTTTCGTTGAAAATTAATTTAGTGAAAATGCAAACGTAATTTGCCAAATTTTAGGTATTATTGCCAGCTTATTGCTGAAGTATATCGAAGCTCGTCAGTTGGTCATGTTTGGAGGAATGGTAGCGGCATTATCAGTGGCAGCGTCGGCTTTCGCTGTGAGTCCGGTTCAGCTTTTGATCTTTTTCGGTATCTTGAACGGTAAGTTATAATTTGAAAATTTATCAATTAAGCATTCACGTAATAATGTATCAAACTTTTAACTGATTCAGTTGCGATAAGGTGTTCACTGAGAGAAACGAAACGGTTTGTGACCACTGATACCGTCTCACTTGAATAGTCAGAATGCTTGAGGGTATAAAGAATTTGTCTCCACTGCACGTACTCAACGGAGTGTCGTTGTGCAAGCAAGGAAACAGTCCTGTGACCACTACATTGAAACGCCAGAAGGCGGAACCCTAGTATTGTAGTGTTATTTCATATTTCCTCTGATTGGCTGTTTTTTTACATTCTGCCTCCTTGAAAAAGGGAGACTTATGAGTGCAGAAGAGCAGTCGCTTGCTCTAATGGCAATCCTCTTGTGAATCAGCAGCTCCCAGTAGCTTCCACGGAGCAGCGCTCATTTGCTGACCCACTGAACACTGAAACCTGGTTATGGCCATCAGAGTATATTAACCTAAAAAAGCCTCGTTTGCCAACAGTTTTAAACCTTTACGACTGTCGTAACGGCTAAAGAAGAGCAAGCCTAACAGTAATTCGCCTGGCTGAGGAATCCTTTTCCTAGATTGTTGTCTGCTTCTTGCCATAAAGGTGAGAGGATGAGTATTACGGGCTACAGAGATATGAAGATAGTTTTATTTCCCGATGATTTAAAGTTTGTTTGCTGCTGTTCTAATGCACTCACTTATTCATTACTTTTCACGAGATGATTGGCAAAAATGAACTTTTGAACGTCTTGCAAGGATAGTCTGATGTTATTTCTTCTGCATTAAATAAGTCATATCGAAATTTTAATCTGATCGCGGAATTCTGCAGCACTGTTGGAACTGAAAAACATCATTGGAGATAAAATTTATCAGCTGCCAGCTGGTGCATAGTGATTTCGATCGAGTAAACATAACCAAACAAACAATATTTTTATGAAGTTAACAGACAACTCAGAATATATCATCTTGGCCACAGCCAGTAATCAG